GCTACAGAATGTTAGCAGGTATAATGCAATAGGGTTCTGTGGTAAACGCTTCAGAAATAGAGTGGTACGCAACTGGGCAGACTTCTTTACATCACAATTTCTCAGAGCTTTTAATATGTGCACGGGCATTGGAACTCTCCAATGGGCATTAGAGAAGGCAGCGTTTCTCTACACTCTTTAACCAGGGAATCTTTTTGTTGGGAAACACTGCCACATGGATTGCATTTTTAGTGGTTGTTGTGATGTTTTCTGAGTCCTCTAACATCACCAATAAGCAATCAGACCGCTGCAGTGGTGTTATTAGGCTATGTTTCTACAGGTAGTAGCTGATGTTTTATTTTTTTTTCTTGTGCTGCATCCCTGTATTTGCAAACACATCTATAGGGGTCTAGAGCAGGCGTCCTCAAACTATGGCCTGTGGGCCACATGCGGCCCACCGGGTGTTTTTGCCGCCGCTGCCTGTCCTGCTTAGCAGCTGACTCGTCCTGAGGCCCGCAGTCCGGCCCTCCAACGGTCTGAGGGACAGTGAACTGTCCCCTTGTTTAAAAACTTGGAGGACCCCTGGTCTGGAGTATACTCTAAGTTCTTACAGGAACCTATTCGTCTCTCTTCCAGCTCTCTTTACGGTTATTCCAACTATCTGCTTGTCTTGGGGCTTATCCATTTGATTAAGAACTCCTTGAGCCAGGGACTGGTGCCCTCACTTTCCTTTCAGCATCACAGAGGGCGTCTGGCATGCCCCAGGCACTGGGATATTTTGTTTTCAATGATGTAATAGCCACTCAACTTGAAGTCTAGACACAATTTTGATACATGGTTAATATCTTTCAATTAATCATAAGGTATCTTACCTTTTCTTTTTTCTTTTCTTTCCTTTTTTTGAAGCAAAGTCTCACTCAGTTGCTTGGGCTAGAGTGTTGTGGCATCAGCCTAGATCACAGCAACCTCCGACTCCTGCGTACAAGCTGTCTCCCTGCCTCAGCCTCCCAAGTAGCTGGAACCATGGGAGCTTCCCAAAATGCCCAGCTGATTTTTCTATTTTTAGTACAGACAGGTTCTTGCTCTCGCTCAGGCTGGTCTTAAACTCCTGAGCACAAGTGATACACCTGCTTTGGCCTCCCAGAGCGCGAGGATTACAGGTGTGAGCCTGGTGCCCAGCCCTGACTCCTTACACTTTTAATTTTACTAATTCATCATTAACATTTTAGGACTACACTTGTCTGCCTTACATTGTGTTTTGTTCTCAGTAGCAGCTTTTCTAGATGTCATTGACAGTATCCACCTGCTTGATGGGGCTGGACGTGGGACAGGTTCCACAAGGAATGTGGGGCAGGGCTGTGCTTGAAAACACCTGAGGGGCCGGCGTGCTCGTCTACCCTTTCCCACAGGGCAGGCACAGCTCCTGAGAGTCACAGACTGTAATTGAACACGACTGTTCTAAATTCTGATTGGCATTCTTGAACCAAGTTTACACTAGGATGATTTAATTTCTTCCCGACAGTTAGAGTAGTACCATTCAATTTTATTTTACCTACATTAAAAGAAAAAAGATAAAAATTCAGAGCAAAATTTTTTAAATCAATGTTAGTATTTCTAAAAAGTGGCCCTAAAAACATAAACTCAGAGACTAATTGTTATTCCATCCCATAGCCATTTTGGGAACTCAGTTAATTACTCTGATGGTTATTTTTATGTGTCAGCCTGACTAGGTTAAGAGATGCCCCAATAGCTGGTAACATATTATTTCTGAATGTGTCCATGGCAGTGTTTCTGGAAGAGATTATTGTTTGAATCCATAGATTGAGTAAAGGAAATTGCCCTCACCAATGTGGGTGGAGAGCAAGTAATCCATTGGGTGTCACCATAGAACAAAAATGTGGAAGAAGGGTGAATTTGAACTCAGTTCTTCTGCCTTCAAACACCAGACCTTTGTCCCCAAACTGGGATGCCATTGGCTTCCGTGGTTCTCAGGCCTTTGGATTTGAACTGGAATTATACCACCATCTTTCTGCCTCCAGCGTGCAGACAGCAGATGGTGGGACTTCTCTTATCTCCTCAATCATGTGAGAAAATGTTTTTCTGGAGAATCCTAACTAATACAATTACAAATTCAACATTTATGTCTTCTTGTCTGAACTAGGCTGAAGTCAAATTGTCAGTTCATTTCTGCTAATTGCCCACATACAGAATTCAAAATAGTATCAAGAAATAAGTTATTTATAAAAGACAATCTGAACACAAACGTATGTGTCAACTGTTAATATTCTAAAATAGGTTCAAAAACTGAAGGCCCTTAAAATGAGAAATTAGTGTTAAGTTTGTGCAAAATGCAAATAAATTGCATGTTTCTAAACAAATAGTAGGGATACAGTATTACATGTGCCCTTCTCATTTGGTCAAAGCAAAGAACCTCAAATATGTTGTGTGTTTGTCCAACTAAAAATTGTTAACAATTTGGTCTAAAGAAATCTACCGAGCAGTTATAAGTTTTTTTTTTGACAGTCTCACTCTATGACTTAAGGGCATTGGTTAGTGGTGTCATGATAGCTCTCTGCAACCTCAAACTCCAGAGCCCAAGTGATCCTCCTGCTTCAGCCTCCCAAATAGCTGGGATGGCATGCATACCCTCCCATGGCTGGCTGATATTTCTATTAATATTTTTTGTAGAGATGGGGTTTTGCTCTTGCTCAAGCTGGTCTGAGACTCCTGACCACACGTAACCCTCCCACTTGAGCCTCCCAGAGTGCTAGGATTCCAGGTGTGAGCCCCTGTGCTTGGTCACAATAGCCTTTTCATTCTCTCACTTAGGCTGTTTCTTTCTTTCCTTTTTAAATCTTTTTCTAATTTTACTTTCATTCCTAAGGTCTTCTTCTCTTAGGATCTTGGCAACAAGCATGCCGTTATTTTCCTATTTGTGTTCTATTCTGAAACTGGATTGTTAGCTTGGGGTAGAAGGGATGACCTTGTTGACTTTTGTTTTAAAAGGCAGCCTTTTTTTTTTTTTTTTTTT